AAAAGGAGTGAAAAAAAGACGAAAAAGGCACCCGAGTGACACCCCTTCAAGAATTACTTCCTTCCCCAAGAGCTTCCGAGGAACCTGTAAATATCCAAAGTTCATTCGAAACATCCGCGTGTTTTGGTAAATAAGCCGTTAAAATAGAAGGGGGTATACAGGACGGCAAGTGCAGTATCTTTGGAGAACAGGGTTGCGCGTCTCTTAATGCATCTCGTATAGCATTAAAAGCGATGAAGCCTCTTTTATATTACACGAAAGCCGCAATATCTCCTCAAGATAATGAAACAGTAAAAACTGAAGATTTTAACGGTCGCCGAGTCCCGTAATATTTTATACTCCCATTTGGTCCAGTAAGAGATTCCGTTCCTATGTACGTGATTGCTGGAGGATGAAAAATAAAGAAATTTAAAAAAAAAATTGGTAAAAGAAACGCATAGAGGGACATCCCATAAGTAAGGGACAGTCGTGTCAAAATTCTCGAGTGGCCATGAGACGCTTCATCCGGACCCAAAAGGTCCCAAAGCGACTCGAGAATCGTTTCACCATTTAACATTTCTCACAATAAACAAGCTGGTCGTGTCTCTGCGATATCTCAAAGAGAAAACGGGTAGCTGGCATCTACAGTGTGAAACATAGTGCGAACAAAAGTCTGCCGAATGTCCTGGCACCGTTTACCATGGAATGTCTGGGAAACGTGTCTTTGGTTCTAAGCATAACGAAACTGCAGCGAAGGATTTCGACTGAACGAATAGGATATATATCGCCCGAGAGAGAAGAAACAGAAAGGAAACGCTTTGAAACTCGAGTACCAGCGGACACTGGGTAAATCTCGGCGGAAATACGTTTACCTATATTGGAAATAGGTTAGGTACGTTCGAGGTATGAAAATACGGAAGTAAGTGAAATAGGTAAGTACTCGGAACGTTGAAACTTTTTAAAACTTTCAAATGTCAATGATATCTTAGAACAGTCTCACGTACGTCTCTTTGATTTTTATCAAGTTCTTCGGATCTGATTTTAGTATGAGTCAAGTCTGTATTAATTTTCACCTCACTGAAGTCTCGTTGGGGTCCTGGTCAAATGGCTCTACTTTGACTGTTCGATAATTTTTTTTAATTCAATATTTTTTTGCAAAAATTTTTATAACGGAAATAGCAGACTGTCCAGGTAGAGTGACTTTATCAAGACTTCGGTAAGACGAAAATCAAGGTAAAAACTTGACTGACACTTTAATTGAGACCAGAAGTACTTGACACTTGGTCAAAGGGATATATGCTAGACTGCTCTGAGATATCTATGATATTTAAAGATGTTTACCAAGGTAGTCAAATGCATGAGTATATTTTTAATTACAGGTAAATAGTTTTGAGATATATTTCTAAGCACGTAATTGAGATACAGTTAGTTTCTCATTGGTTCTTGGTTATTTAAGAAGTAACGACTACGGGGACTCCCTGTCTTGATTTTCTTGGGAAATCTAAGGATATAACAGGAATATAGAGTAGTGACAGTAGGTATGTGTAGTTGCAGCGGGTCGTGAAGGACCGACAAAGATCTTTCGGAACCCTAAGGAACACCCTAGGGATCTTCTAAAATCTAAATTTGCCGATAACGACGGTTGACGGACGGGCGCAGATGCATTCGACGTGCTTTAAGAGGCGAACGATGTTTTGAAAACGTGCCGAAATTGTGCTAAAACGAAAATACCAATAAACTATAGTCTCCTTTTTGAGGGTACTGTGCACGGGATCCACGATGGGGACGTCCTTCCCCACCCATCTTGTTTTCCTACGGGAACGCGTTCCGTGTTTTTGGGCTCTTTCGTGCCACTTCCATAAATCGGCTGGATTTTCAGCTGTCCCTGACAATATTTCACAGTTCCTGTCGATACGTCACGCGTCTCGATTCTTTGTTTTATGAGATTAATGGGAAATATTTTATTCGGATAAACATACTGTTGGATGCATCTCGTAAAAATTTTTAAATTACCATAGTCCCGTTTATTATCCTTCAAGTTTTCAATTTCAAATTTACAGTATACGAATAATATGAATAAATAAAAAAATTAAACCGTGCAAACATCGAGCAACTGTAAAAAGTTTCAAAAGCTTACAATTTCTCGAGTGAAAGCGATATTTGAGTGAAAGGTGGGAATGCTATAAACATTCCATTCGCCATTCGACAGTGGCACTAAAACAGGATGGGGCACGGCACTCGAAGCACTTGAATTTTTAACATGGAAGTAAGAGTGTCTCTACCGGAAGTACTACTTCGGATGAGAATAACTAGGAGAGCGTCTGTGGAAAAAGAAAAAAAAAATGATCCGATTCCTACAAAAATTTCTTACATAAAAACTCTCAATATGTCATCCGCATACAAGGAAAAAAGGAGATGCACCTATACAACACACTATCTGTCATAACGACGGGAATCATCGAAACTACAAGTAATCCAAAGAGAAATAAGAACTGAATAACCTCCTCGGCGATGATTTATCGCGAGTGGTCTTTTGCGTGTGATTTTTACGCGAAGAATGAAATCCAGCAACTTAAATCCTCAGGAGAGTTGAGTTTCACATGGCGGACTCGAAGTATCGCCTTTCAAAAAGGAAGGACGTGTTAAACCGATTACTTGGCGATTTCGATGTCCGTGCTTCCGCCATTTGAGACTATTTGTCGAGTGAAATTCGACGTCTGCCATGTTGTGGGAGTTAAGTGTAACCGTAACGGACGTGGTACCAGCATTCCGGTACTTATGGTGGTAAACCATTTGAGAATATTGCAGTAGCTACCATGCAGTATCATACCTTAAGTATACCTGGTGGGATACTTTAACCTGAGATACATTCCCCGTTGATTCCCCAAAGAACAATGTAGAACCACTGACAAGAGTAAAGGTGAGTAGAATTCGCAAGTTCTGCGTCAAAATAGCAAAAGCGACCGGAAAACAGTGTAAACAAATCATACATACTTATTATTAAAATTATGTTAAAATTTGTCTCTCTGTAACGATTAATCTAGTATCAGCACGGCCGCCACTCGGTTTTTTAGCTTATGCATGTAATTGGCGTGATAAAAGAAAAACCAGAGGACCCAAAAGAAACGTAATAACTTCCTGTCAGATCCTCTTGGCTGCAATCTTAAATGCACTCATGCTGTTTGGCCTGAATGGAACTGCGTTACCAGACACGGCGCGTGCCGACAAAGGAATTTCTCTAGTTTCTGCTTCTTCCTGCCCTGGCTGGTGCTGCTATGCTCGTGCAAGGAAACGATAAGCTTGGATTTTTATTTTATGCATCCTTCCCATAATAGCTTCGTTCTTTATTTTCTTGACGACTCCAGAGAAGAATATTCAAAGCTACTTTAATCAAGAGATCGTTAGTATTTCAGAGTTCGATCGATTGAAATTGGCAAAATTGTATTAAATCATTATGTAATTTGGTGATAGAATTCAGTCTATACGATGATCGATAAATTTAAGAAATTACAATAGACATAAGCTAATAGTGACAATTAGGTTCTCTCAAGATTAAAAAAAAAAATTTAACCATTGTGGACATATCGAATTAGGAATCAGATTTTTTTTGTAAAAAAAGCATTCATTATTCGCAAAATTATAATTAAGTTAAAAGCAATCAAATCCGTATAATAACATACCTGGTTAGTAAGAAATCTACTCTACAAATCAGATAGTTATTTCAGAGCTAACGTGGTCCAATTCGAAAATAAAGACAGAGCACCAATGAATCGTGCAATTTTTATAAAAAATTTAAATAATATAAATGAATTTATTAAAAGTGCAAGTATTCTTCGTTACAATACAATGCTACGACTAATAAAATAAAAATCTTATTTCGAACGTTTGGCAATACTGAAATAGACAACCGAGCAACTGCGGGTGTACCTCGTTCAAAGATTTTACGGGCTATTTCAAACTTTAAATACTGACAGTGGATAGGTAACTATACAGCGATTCAAAGTTTTACGAGTTGGAAGTACTTGAAACGACCAACAAAATGTAGATCGTGAAAAGCCAAGCAGGTCTGTATAAGGGGTACTTTAATCCTACAATAGGAAAGTGCATTGTAGCAGGATTGAGTACTGACAAAAGATTTTTATAGATAGAACTAATTAAAAAGTCACTATCTGCTTCATAGTGCTATACCATATATCGTTTATATACTGTTACGTATTTTCTCAACTCGACACAGATAACGAAAATCCGAGAACCAACCTACGTCACCTTCGGCCGTCCACCCTTCGTCCATGCATCCGCATGCCAGACGGACGCCAGCCAGTTCTTGTTCCACCGTGAACTGACGAGCCGGTATGACCTGGGAGTTCAGGTGGAACAGTCTCAACTTCGCCAAAACGGGAGCTCCGACGAAACCTCTCAGAAGAAACGATAGCTCAACGAATCCCGTCGATTTTAGGGGACGCGTAAAATCACCCGAGAAATCACGTCACAATACCAATTTTACTACATGGAACAAGATAAAGCGATACAGTCAAGTTGTAATATAGCAGATAGGAAATTAGCCCGTAAAGTCATTGAGCAGGAGAAAAGTGGCGAACGGTAGCTTTGAAATGACAAGTGTTAAGACGTTTATGTGGATATCATTAATAACTTTCCTTCAGACATGAAACTAGTCGGCAAGCCGGAGATCTGTGAACTTCATTAATGCCTCTAACAGTCAACCAGCTGGTTAATTACGCTTTGACTAATAGCTTTTTCCTAATGGTTCACTTATTGCCCGTTGTACTGGCATCCAATTTCGACTTGGTAGATTGTTTTTGTAACGCCTCCATACAATAACAAGCACGCAATTGGTATTTTACGAAACTGATCCTTACCGAACTTGTAACGTGGGAACTTGACAAGAACGTATGAATACGTCAGAAGCTGGGTACCACCAAGGAATTCAAAGGAGGAAACGAACGTCGAAGGACTTTTTAATATCTGAATTTTTATTGTCATATCATTTAATATATTTACAGTGAAATTGCTCGAGCGAAATTATAATTTTAATATAATAACGATATACGCTGATATTTTTTGGACGATCTTACTTATAATTGGTATTACAGTATATCTTCTTGTGTGTGATACAAAATTATATATTTATTCAGCGTTTATTTTCAATGCTCGTTGTATAACACCTCAATGCGTTTTTACGTATCGTACTGCATAAATGTTTCTTTATACATTTATTTTTTATACGCAGATACGACAAACGCTACTTTTTAAACTAATCCTTCTTTGATATGCTCTTTGGTAATTCACGTGAATGAATACGGTTACGTTGCGTTACTTTTCTCAATGAGAATTAAAGAGAAAAAGTGTACACTTTTAAAGCAGTTATTTACATGCGACCTATGCTTATAGGTTGAGTACGATATGGTGCACCTCGGTGAATTGCAAATGCAATTAACGTTACAAAGGACTTTGACAAATTGTTGGTATTTCAATTAACTGTAATAGCATTCACTGCCAAGTTACTCGTCAGAGTGCTTATTACAAAGTGCATATGAAAATCCTATTTTCAATGTATGCATTGGATTGCATCTCACTCGCCAGGTTTTTTTTAATTCTTTTGACAACAAACCCTTTGGCATGCGTAATCATTAGACTCGTAGTCCGACTAGAAGATTTTTCGCGGAAATAATTTCGAAAAATACAGAAACAAATTCGAGCATCGTATTAACAAAAGGAAAAAAAAAATAAAGTAAGAGAATATTACAGGTATTTATTACCATTAATTCGAAATCGAGAGCAATGAGTAATCTTAGAATACGTAATATACAGTCTAGACGAAAGGCACGTATGAGTACTTCAAAAATGGATGAGCTCCATGTAATCCAATTGTATATAATCTATTGTCGATCATTTTGATTCGTATCGAACGAATTCGTCTTAATAAGAAAATGTTCATCTCAGTAAGATCTTGTACTTAGAATCAACGTGCATTTTATAAAATTATCATAAGAAGTGGCATAAGTCAAGCATATCCACCGTCTTATCTTTTTTTTTGTTTTGATAAACGCACAAAACCTCATAGCGAATCACAATAATAGAATTCTTAATAGAATGTTCCCAGTCCTCTTATAGGTAATGTTTTCAATTGTAATTTCGGCAATTCCCTATTTTAATTGACTACGTTCACGATTATCTTGAACCGTCATCAAGTCGTTATTGTCAAACGTATCGTGACTTAATACATTATCCATATTCCATATAAAGGGACACTCTTGAGTTTGTCAATTCTATTAAATCGTCTTAATGACTCGTTGCGTAGGGACTGTCATTGGGTGACGATGGGGATCCACTGATACTCTGCACGATCATATTTAGGCAATCCAAACTGCTTCCGGCATTTTGTGAAGATTGGGTTTCCGATTGGTCGTAGCCTGAAACAAAAAAATTGTATTATGAAGTTATTAGGTACGATGTAAAAAAAAGATTAAATTACTATATCAAAATTATTTTGGAGGTCGTTGCATAAATTGCAAACGTCAGAAAAACACAACACGTCAAACAAACACAATGACCATAGGTATTAATGACGTCGGCACTTGCACAGCTGAAATTTAATCGTGTCAATTGGCAGCGATATCAAATACAACTCCGTGTCAATTTTTCTTTTTCCTTTATTCTTCAAGTTGAAATTGCTCGGTTACTCGGCGCTACCGGAATTCAGTTAAATCGCTTCGACTAGCAATGTCCGATCGCAAATTGAGATAAATTTCCTGTCGACAACTACACGCGAATACAGCAACACAACGAAGTGAGAGCTCCGGTTTGTGTTTGGTGAAAAAAAAAAATTTATTTTCATCTCGCTTAATCAACTTTTCGTATACGTACAATTTCCACGTAAAATGACCATGTACAATCGACTGCGAAGATAGAGTTTAACTACTATAGCGGCTGGTACGAATAGAAACCGGGGCAGGATTAAAGGCGCGAAATTCAAATAAAAGATGAAACAACTTGGTCATCGAAAGTGTTATGAAATTAGTTTTTATCAATTGGACTTTTTTATTAGCGTTCGTAAAAACTTTTTACAATGAACCATTAATCCAGCAGGTATGTAGCTTATTGGCCAGAACATCAAAGAACGATATCGAAATATTTGTAGAAGGGTGGAAAATTGAAGACGTCAATGTTTAATCCTATTGATTCTGTGAACTCGGAACGAACTTAACTAATTTCATTGATTAGCTTCGACGTAATAACGGAGGGTGAAACGGTTACCTCGGTCTCACCAACATCCGGGACACTTTGAGATTGGGGTAGATCGATACTATGGCTTTTAAAGAATTAAGAAATTTTACAGAAACTCTCTCGATTCTCATCTCGATCTACCGTCGCAGGAACCAGTTTAACTGAAAAACCGATACGAACCGATTAAACTGCCGCTTAACAAGTTAAACGAGTTAAAATGGACGTTTCAAAAGCGGATATTCAACCTTATACGTTGATAAAAAATCATTCGGGTAAAGTTTTTGTAATTTTTCTTTATTTTCGCGTTTACATATATTCTCTTAAGTTCGTGAAATTTCGTCACTTCATTTCTGTCGCTTCGACCTTCCACGTGGAAGACTAATGGCTATTGAATATAACGACGCGTTATTATTACAAATTGTGAAATTTTTATATTAACCGTACAAAACATTCACGGACTTCTCTATACTTTGTCGAATATACAAAAGAATTCTTTCGATAATTTGCATAAGGTTTGATGACGCGAAACAAATAGATTACCTCAATTTTAGATTTCAGCTGATGTGAATTTGATTAAAGCCTACGTACAAAGGAAGGATTCAATTGTTTGCAGGACAGCGTGGCCAGATTTGCATTTCACAAGGGACTTTGAACATGTCTCCCGTGTGTAATGGGAAACCGGCTATATATATACATAGCGTGTCGATAAGCGCAAAGGATTCGATATTCGCGTCAACCTTTGTTTCGAGTCTACCTGGTCTACTTGAAACAAATCCCCTCTCCCCCTTAAATCACTATATTCGATTTGACTGCCCGGGAATTTGCAATTAATAATTAAAAAAGTTATCAAGTAAAAAAAAAACGTGGATTTGTCATATTTAATCAAGATATAATTCAAACTCAATTTTTACCATCCAATATAATCATTATACTTGAGTTATAATCACACTGACGTCTGACGTTTCTCGAGTCTTCATCTTTCTCTCACAAGAAGACATAAAGTTGTCAATTTCTCGGATCATCGACGTCGCAATTTTGAGAACATTTAGTGCTTCCAACTGCTGAGCACTTAGCGCGAAGATCTTGATGACGTTAAACGTTGACCGATCGTTCTGCATTGGAGAGACGTCACTCAGTGACCTACTCCGTAGGCACGAGCGAAGTCAAGAGTGGAGTAGGTATAAAGATACAGTAGCAACTGGTAAGCACAGTTGCTAGAGAGACGGAGAGAGGTTTAAAGTCAAAAGAGAGAGAGAGAGAGAGAGAGAGAGAGAGAGAGAGAGAGAGAGAGAGGCGAACGAAACTAATAATATTAAGAAGAGAGAAATGTGGCAACAGATGCCCGGCCTTGTCGGAAGCAGGTGGGTTAAACACGTGCGATGAGAGTCTGGAGGAAGAACGTTGATACTTTGTAGCTGATGGGAGAAAACACGTACATACGTACACGGATGTAAACGGCTACGTCAACGTCCAATGGAAATTGAAAGTGCTACCGTCCGTCAAGAAACTTTGGTAGCTATATTAAATTTGGAAAACACTTGAGTGACGTTGATGTAAAATGATTGGTGAGTAAATTTGAAAAATTCGATGCAGGGAAAAGAGTTATTAATTTTTTGGAAATTTCTGAAAAACTTTCAATGAGGATTTTTTGGAGGTTTTTTTTCTTTTTCTTTTTCGTAACGTATTTACAGGGAGCGTTATCGATGGAAAGTGGATCGGGATTAAATTGGAAATGAAAAATGAACTTTTGATTCGTCAAGTCTTCACGACGGATATTAATTGGACTAAATGATAAGGAATTTGAGAAGCGTCGCTATTGAGGAAAAGATATCGCGACAGATCTGGTGATATAGACGCTTCGAAGTCCTACGCATTGCAGAGTGTCGATGCTTGTAAAATATACGACGTCGGTCTGGAGACTTAACCTACATTTCTTAAAATTCTTTTCATTTCTTACCACTGAATATCCAGAAACGATATTACATTTTATTTTTGTACAGTCAGGATCTGTAGGAGTCAGGAATGCCGATGTTAGTCTCTATCCACTTGTAATCCCCCTTAATTTGGATCACCAATAATCTGACGAGGCATACCCCTCTATATATATGCTTTACCAGAATTTTTCGTGGCTAAGAAAAGCACGCGAACTCTAGTAGGAATTTAAAGACATGAATTTGAATAATTCCCACAGCACAGAATATATTAAAGATATTCATGGTGTACACATGAAATTCATTTGGTTCTCATCCAAATTAAGACGTATCGTCAAATTAATTCACTTTTCAGTAATATTGTACCTGAGCGTTCACGAAGATTTTGTATTCCTCGAACATCAGAGAGACGGAGCCGCGCGTACGTCGTATTTTCCGTATGTTAAATCGAGTGACATTTATATTGTCGTGTTCACAGTCCGAGTACGTATCATCGAGTATAATTCTCCTAAGGCGCCTTGCCAAACGTTACTGTTTTACTTTGACGTTACAATTTGAGATTGTTCTTTGAGGATATTTCTCAAAAGTGGGAATGCAATAGAACGGCAATAGAATATAAAGTGCGCATATGTGTGTACAATAGTTCCAGACGACTGAAACCCATTCGAGCAAGAGATATATTAAGGAAATATGGTTATTACGGTTTAACCTGAAACTAAATGATGAATGTAGACAGGCGAACAATCATCAGCATTGTATTACAGATCGATTTCACCAGTCTTACCAACTTGCTAGGTATTTCAGCCAGATGCAATTCAACTGGAGTTTAGTTTACCCTCGTGACGCTGTTCTGAACTCTGTACTCTGAACTAGGCATTGGTTCTCTCTGATATTGACACTAGGTTTACGGGCGTTTCTTATATACCTGTCTCTACGAGCACCCGTCAAATTTACGGATAGGTGAAAATACGTATTTACTTTAAAAAATCAATTTATTCAAACTACGTCCGAGTTGAACAATATAAGGGTTCACGTAAAAATAAAATATTAAGTCAAAATCTTTTTTTTATCACAGAAGTGATAACAATAATATAAACGCTACAGGGTATTCATTTTTATCGAGCACATTTTTTACATTGAGTGATTTACATTTTTTAAGTTGAGCATTTATATTCAGGGGACTGCTGCACATTGTCGGTCATAAGAAGATGGCCCCTCAAAATGCACCTGGCCTCGACTTAACTATATATCCTGCCACTAGGGGAAAACTAAGAAGTTGAGAAACTTTTGGGATAAGTTTGAGCTTTATGGGGATTGCTAGGTACATATTAATATCACACTTGAGGATAGAATATACGTTGAAGTGATGAGTGATATGACTTTTTTCTTTGATCAATAATCTGCCTCTTGGTTTTACTTTTACGAACTTTTATGTAATGGAATACTTGGGAGAAACCATCAATAACTCTACGGAAGTAACTTCTCGAGATTCATCGTTTTATTCTTGAATGGGCTGGTACTTGTATTGTAAAGGGCCATTTTTTAAGTGTTATTTATTGTTCGGGCAAAGCATTACTCAGCCACAAGTAAGGAATTTTTTTTTGAACGAATAACGATACGGACGTAATCACGGGTACATGTAAGGGAGAAGATTTTTTATGTGAAAAATAAAAAAATGTATATTGATCAACAAATTTTTCTTTTCACATCTTTCCCTCATAAATCTGTTTCCTTCTTAAATTATTTTTAAACCTGACGGGTAAATCTTTTCTTCTTTTGAAGCTCCTTATTAGGCAATACAACGCATTATCGATTCTTACGTATTCCAAAGGACCAAGTCTTAACGGGCATTTACGTTTTACGTAATTTATCAAGAACCAAAATATATCAATGATATATAATGTAACTTTGATAGCCTTATAGCATCTCGTATTCTTTCTCTTTGATTGCAGTCCCTCTGAGGCTGCCAATCAATTCATCGAATTCCCATTTTGAGATCAAAGACTACGTATATACGTATTACCTTAAACTTTCTCTGGAAAGGAAATCGGATTTGAACTAGCTGCGAATGTCTCGAACATTTCCAACTCAGCTGTAGATAGATATCAGTAAGGCAGCTACCGCGTGATACTGACTATCTAAAGTATCGGTAGTAATAAAAACACCGAAATGGCATCGAGCAACTAAAAGTCACGTGTAATGTATTTTCGAGTAAAAAAAATTAATTGTCATTCAACAAAATAATTATTTAACTT